GTTTATTAGGACAAATCTCTGTGGTTAAAAATTGAAAGGTCAAAGTGCTTTCTGAAATATTTTATCATGTATTACCATTACTTTTAGATTTTCCCAGGTGTTTCACCGCTTATTGTGACCTTTTGGCACAATAAGGTTGTTTAGGCTCTGAGACGTGTGAAGCATGTGGAAGCATGAGAATGTACTGTGTGCGCTGCTCTGCTGTCCCCCCTTCTCTCCTACTTTCTAAACTAGGTGCTCCCCAAGTTGGCTCTCTTCTCTCTTCCCTAGCGTCAACCAGCTGCGTGGATGACACTGAATCTCTTTCTGTCCTGGAGCTCCCTGCTCATCCTGTGTCACAGATGTTTGTCTTGTGGATACCCTAAAGGTACATCAAGATAAATATGTCTCAAACTGATTTCTTCTCCCTCCTAAAACAAAACTAGCTTCTGTCCAGTGGCTTATGCTTCAACCTTTGAAGGCATTTTACACTCACTTGTCAGCCACATATTCGGTTGGTTCCTAAATCCTAAATGCTGTACCTCAGTAATCTCTTACTCTTACTTATGCCGTCCCCTTTTATTTCTGCTGTCAGTTAGTGTGGCTCAGGCTTGCATTACCTTCCACTTAGAGACTGCTGTAATACCGTTTTTTTTTCTTCTGTTTTGCTGCTTCCATAGTCTGTGCAGTCCCGTGTACTGATTAATATTTTCCCATTTAAAAACCTTTGTGTTTCTGTTGTCTGTATAATAAAGTCTAAACTCCTCAGCCTGGTGCTTGCTTTCCTTTGCAGTTTGGCTTTTCCCCATCTTACCATATTTCTATTCTACCGCTATACTTTCTCCTGGCCCTGCCTCCTCCAGCCTGGGCTCAACTATTTCCTCTCTGGGAATGTATTTATATGTGATCATCCCCTACCAGCTACTTTTGCTTTAAGGCCCAGCTTGAGTTCCTAGTCACTTAGGAGGTCTTCCTAGATTCTCCCCTTGATCAAAATAACCTCCCAACTAAACCTTTTGGCCCTAGGCTTCATCGCTTTTTATTTCTTTAAATTTAAAAAAAGTTAAGTTTTTGGTTTGTTTCTCCTCTCTTTCAGACTTTGAGGTCATGCATTTGAGTTAATTACATTCCTCCATCCACAGCACACTACAGGGATGCCCCACCAGAACCCCTTTCTCGTTTCATTTTTTTCCTTCCTTGTCAATCAGTTACTTCCAGATCCTTTCCTACAGAAACACACGCTAATGTATAAATAGGTGAATTATGTATACCTGTGTATATAAACTTGGGAATATGGCTGTCTTTCTCCTTCGCAAAAATTAAGTTTTGAATGCTTCTGTCTTTTAATACTACTTTGTTGAGAGTAAGTGGCTAGTAAATGTGTTCTACTTGAAAGTCATTGAACATTATTACTGTTTTTACTAACTTCCGTATTGCTGAGACTGAAAACCTGGGGATTTAATTTCAGCTTTATTCTATATTTAGTCAGGGCAATTCTGAATTTAACCTAGTCTTCTGTTGTAAACCTCAGACTCCCATCAACTTTCCCTTTACTTTTGCAATAATTTTTCAGCTGGGTTCTGCTTTCAGACTCTCCCTTTCATTAGAAAAATCCAGATCAAATCAGGCCACTCCTTCCAAAAGCTTCAGGAAGAACTCTCAGGAACAAGCCAGATCTCTTGTCTTATTTTTTTCTTTCAGGTTTTTCTACTAAATAATTTCCTCCAGCCTCTACTGCAGCTGTACATGTGACTTTTTTTTTTTTTTAATAGCACATTTTTACCTGCAGAGCTTTGTGCCTTTACTTGCATTTTTTTGCCTTTTAAAGTCCCAGTTATTGTTCACAAGCTTTTTCAAGTGTTCAGATGCTATGTTCTCCAAGCCATGCCTTGACTCTTTCCTTTTTAGCTTGCTTACCACTTTGTTAATGCTTTTATTGTCATATTTACCTCGTTGTGCTTTGTATTAAAACCTTGTGGTATATGTCTTAATTCCCAGGGCCTGGTTCATTCTCTTTTCTTTCTAACACAAAGCATAAAGCCTTAAAAATGTAGTGAGCAGATTGTGTAACTGCCTTGAGAAAATACTAAAGAAAGTTTGTTAGGGATTTGATGGGATAACTGGTTCCACAGTAGTATTTTAGTTGAGCTTTGCCAGCTTTATTTTTCAAATATTATACAGTGGTTTCTAACAGCTGTCACCACTGACAGCTGCCCCTATACAATTCTTTTTGAAATGATGCATTTTTTTATCTGAATTTTGTTGATGAAAATATGCGCACATTTTTTATTTGCCGGCTAAACAGCTGTGCTTTTTGGCAAGCGAAAAACTCATTTTTATATATTACCAAGAGATTGAGATTTTCTTAAAAGCAAGATCTGTTGTGCTCAATACTTAGAATTCATAATTAGATACTATAGTTAAATGGGCCAGAACCTTGCTTGTAAATTTAAAATCTCTGGGTCTGGTGAAGCAATTGAAGTTTGGGGTGTGGTTCCTGTTTCCTGTGAAAATTAGTATAGATCTCAAAAATAAAGTATATGTTTTTTGTGAAACTCCAGTTGGAGAAGTTGCGGCTGTATACAGCTCAGTGCACCTTGCTGGCGTGTACATGCAGATATTTTTGTAGGTGCTGTTGGGAATACAAAGTTGTTGGAAATAATCTTGTTTTCAGGAAACTTCAGATCTGTTGGGAATAAGCAGGTACACGTGTCTTTGTAAAACGTAATAGAATGTAAATGCCATAAAGTGGTGCGGATAAAATGGTTTGAGGGTTTAAAGACGAAACTATCTGGCCGTAAGGCTACTGAACTGCCTGCATGTTGAAGGACAGGTAAGATTTCAGAATAGCAGAAGAGGGGGGACATACTCACCCAGAGGTAGGGGAGGAGGAAGGCTAGAGCATATTCTGGGGAATCACTAGTAGTCTGGTCTGACTGTAACAAAGAACATAGAGAAAGAGGTAAAACTGGAACGAGAGACCGGGGCAGGCTGGGGCTTGGCTGTGAAGGGCGTTGAATGCCAGGTTAAGGATTTTGGATTTGGTTGGATTAGCCAGGGAACCTTTGGATTTTGAAGAGAGAGTTACCTGGTCATAGTTGTAGTTGAAGAATATTTATTTTGCCTCGTGTGGTATGATTTCAATGCTAAGACTAGAGAGAGGACTTGTTAAAACTTGAGGGCCATATTCTTAACCTCTCTTCTACCTTTCTAAAGATAGACCATTTGTAACTCCCAGTGGGCTGTTCTGGTTTTCCAAATTAATTTTCTAAAATCCTCAGCTGTGATTTCTTGTTCTTATACCATAGTGAGTTTCTCTATCAAGTCTAACCTGTTTGAAACTGCCTGTACTGACACCCTAAATTAATCAGTTTTACTTCTCACTTCTTTTAGTATTTGAAGAATTATTTTGGGCATACTTTATACTTATTACCATATGCTTTTAAATTTTTTCTCTTATTTATCAGTGGCTCTCCCCATATACATAATAAAGTCCACATGAGTGAAGTATTCCTAGAATATTTATTTCTGAAGGTAGCAAAATATAATAGAAAGAACATGCATTCTTACAAAAACTAGCTGTGAAACCATGGGAAAATAGCTTACTTTTTCCTTTTATGGCTAAGACTGTAGAACAACGCATTTGAGTCTACTTTTCAGTAATAGGCATATTTGATGCCTAGGAGAG